CACGTAAAGTCCGATTTGAGAGCGAACTACGCGAAGAGCATACCGGGTGTCGTGCATGCCGTGTTTTCATAGATGAAGTCGTCACCCTTCATGAGCTGCTGACATATATAGAGGCGGCAAACTGTTGTCGTGCTTTTGTATATGAGAGCAGCTTTGGACTCCATCGATCACCCTGACTTGTGGGTAGCCAAAATACAAGATCCAAAAGTGGTGCACAAAACTGCAGGGTTAATTATTGTACAAACTGAAACCTCACCTGTGGGTGTTTTTTTAGAGAGGTAGAGGTCCTACAGAGGTTAGTTTGTGTCTTTCACAGTTCTTGACCGTTAGACCTTGTGCAGGCTTAGGCAAAGACAACTCATCGACCGAGTTTGATATATTCGCTTTTATCCGAGATGCAAGATACAACTTCCTGTGATTGTTTCTGTTTATAGTTTTCATTGTTATATTTTCCACAGATTTATGACACAATTGTGGATCAATACACGCGCTTACCCAAAATGCTTTTACGTCGTCTTACCCCACAGGCCGTACGAAACGTCGGTGAGTGAGTGATACAAATCAACCATATCGATTTCCAACTCCTGCTGCTTTCTCTCCTTTTCGCATGCACGCAAGCACATACACAAAGGACAAAATTTCAAAGCTGTAGCACAGTTCCGATCACGCGAAGGGTGGTTCAACTCTTCCGCTTCCCTTTAAGTGCTGACTCAGGTACGTAGCTTTAAAAGCTAAACGTCCCCGTTTTGCACATCTATGGATGGACTTATACGGTCCCTGTCTCTGCCCAGGCTAGTGATGGTTGCAGCGAATTGACGTAGTCCGCATGAAAGACAAGATACAATGTCACGTGAAAAGTGCACATACTGGTATATAAGATCTCGACCTAGCGCTTAATTGATTAGATCAGAACAGCAACAGGGGCTACTTTAATCTGAACTGTCGAGATAAGTATCTCATCGTAATTATCTATTTTGGTTGTTATATCTGTAACGATCCCGTACTAAACGAATTGACCAAACGTGGATAATCTAATTTAATGATTGACGAGTATCCCGTAAATACATTTTTTGAAGTCAGACGCCTGTCTGTCGCATAATCGTGTGCTGAGTGCTTTTGATGAGCTGATCGATCGTGTGATCTTCGGGTGTCCATTTTTAGACACAGTCTACAAAACACACTGTTAGGTCCCATACAGTGCATCGATCCGCAATTATTGAAAACAATACAAATAAATAACAAGGCTCAACCTCATTGTACGGGGTGAGTTCAACCGATCGGTAAGGGCCTCTAAATACGTATGTGTAACCGAGATTTCCGTTGTCTAAGACCTAACTGAAATGTCTCACAAACCCGAATCTCATATATTTTATGTGAATTAAGACTTGTCATGATATATAAATGGATGTTGGTACATGAACTGATAACAACGCGGTCGCACTGCCTAGAATGTTCTCTCTGAACAAGTAGGGTCTTCCGGCAGACATTAAGCTCTTAGGAGCACATTAGCACAGAAAACTGTGATCAAGTAGATTGAAACCAACCAATGTGTGGTTCAAACCAGCAGCACTTTTTTCAAGTACGTCCCACTCGTCCATTCCTGCTCAGCTTTGTCGTAGACAATAAAATGGAATGTTCTAAATAGTAGCCTAAGTAGTCACCTGCCGTTTCTTCTGCACCTACTGGTAACAACCTACAAATAGCCCTTCTGGTCCTTACACATAATTTGTCTGAGTCTCACGATCGTTGGGTTGTATAAATGTGAGCTCAATTCGGCTTGCCGAAGTACCAGTTTCATTTGGCCACGATCTACTATGTTTTCAAAGTTACATGTTCTATCGTTTTCATTTGCACCAAGTTTTTGTGTGTGGACCTATTTCTTCCAGTACTAGTCACATTCCTCGGTGACGATCCACAACGGAGTCGTGAACTGGCTGCACTCTATTCGGAAAAGCTGACAGGTTTGTGGCACTGGTTTACCACTGTTGGGTCACAGTGTGTGACATTCTGTCGCAGTTCGGTTCTGTTGGCCCACGATACAGATCGTGGAGACTCGTCGAACCCCGAAACGGTTGTAGTCGCGCTGATCGATTTTTCCGATTGGAACCTGTCCGCTTGTGAGGCGGCACAGTCAGACCCGGATGTAGTCGATGGATTTGCCCACGGTCTTTCCACACTGGCCGAGATGTTCAAACAGATTAGCACCGAAAACGTGATTTGAATCTCCAGTCTATTTTTTTTATAAACGCCTATTTTGATTTTCCCCGTATGATATACGTTGTACATAAATCCTCCTTTCACTCTCGAGGCTGCGTATCTTTGCTCAATTTTGGCATAATAGTACGTTTTTTCGCCCTTCCTCCTCCGTTCTTTTCTTTTTAATTCTCCCCCACCCCACTCCTCGCCACTGTCAGAGAAAATTTGATTCTTTTGCTAATCTGATTCGCGCCACTCATTGTCCACCGGTACTTTTTCCAATTTGAATATCATTATGTTGAATATTCATATTCATTTCGTTTCTTTCCCCCTCCCCTCCACCATCATCAGAGCATGGAATTGATTTTTAACTCGTCTAATTTCGGATCTCTCTCTCTCTCATTTTTCTCCAGATTTGAAGTTGTATTGTATTGTATTGTATTTGTAACTTTTATAAGCATATATGCTTACATTTCAGGTAAAAATGTACATTGTTCGTCGCACAGAATGAAATAAAAATAATCAAA